CTGACTAAAAACCTGACTTTGGGTGGTTTCTTCATTCGTTGTTATTATGATACGATGATAAGTAGCACCAATTGCTGGGAAGGATACATCTGAGATAATTTTAATTACAGATGGATCTGACAGATCCATCAATTCGTAATTGTCGGCATTGGTTTTGGTACTACTGACATTATCTAATCAGTTGATAAATTTTTTTACATATTTGGTGAACTTAAAGTTTCTGGTAAGTCAATTGCACTTGATATTTTTTTTTTAAGAAAGGAGCCAAAATTCGATCCTATTTCATCATTTCGTTCGATCTTATTATTAGATATCGATTCGCCTATTGATTTTCGATTATTGTTACTTTATTCATTTTTTCCGCTAGTTCATTTCTATACTTTATAAATTCGCTAAAAACAGATATCGTTCGATATCTGTAGAAAAATGGCGCCACGTCACTGTTGTTCAAAAATCCGTTATTTTCAAATTGTTCTACATGCAAAAAATGTTTGAAATCATACAATTGCGCCTAGGCTGACTGACCATACTCGCAAAACCATAAAGTTGTTTCTATCAATTGTTGTATAAAAAAACCACATAAGTGTGCGAAAGAAATTGTAGATCAAATGTTTGATCAAAATATTAATAAACATTTGATAGCATAAATCTTATTTAGAACTTTCCTTTAAGTGTTTGAAGTATCCCATAAAACTGTCATTATTGGATGCAAGTAAAACTTCGCGCTATGGACACGTTTCAAATGACTCTGCAAATAACCAAATTCTCATTTTTGCATCATTATTTTTAAAAATTTTGAAACACAAAAAAAGTTTGAAATCAAATGGATCGCTATGTTATCTATGAAATAAAGTCTTTTTTTCTTCATGTTCGATAAATTATGTAAGAGAATATTTTTTCGAATTTACTTAAAATAATTGAAGAAGTAATTTTGCATATGAAAACTTACGATAAATTTTTTTTGCAATCAATTTTTACTTAATCAAACCGTCTTCAAAAAATTTGTTCAATTTCTTTCAAATTAATGCATAACGAAAATTAAAAAAAAAAAAAACACATAAGAAGATTTATTTATTCATGTTTTACAATTATACTTTATTTTGATAATTACTTAATGAAAAAGGCACAAACGATGATATGCAAAGAGCGGTCAATTTCAAGGAAAGTTGTAATTTCATTACTTTAAATTGTTCGATTTTCCGTGTAGATTATGAAAAAAAATATAACACTCCTATACGATAACTTGTAAAAAAGTTATCAGCAGTTATACGTGAATGAGTGCATTTACATGAATATTCAATAACGAGGGGACTGCGATAGTATAAAATTACCATAGTTAGTAACTTTTTTAGTAAAAGACAAAAAAAGCACGTTGAAAGAATTCGAATTAATTGCATAAATTCCGTTTTTGATCATTTATAATAAATTCAGTTCTCATATTCTTTATCTTTTTTAGTTAGTTATAGATAAACATTACTATCCATATCTAAAAATTAAATAAATTCCCGTTCTGCATCATTTATATTTCAAGATAATCTATAAATTGATAATGTTATTTGTATTTCCATCAATATTAACGTAAGGAATATATAAAATATTTATTCGCTATATTTATACATTGGAAGTATACCTATATATATCGTAGAAAAATTGTGACCACGAGAGAGAGAGGTCCGTGTTAGATGGCATTTATTATCGGCGTAAAAAGTATAGACCCCTCACTCTCAATAGCGACATAAAAAAAAATAATAATCTCATTAAGTTGTGTGAGGAATCAATGGATAGGAAACCGATTCTACAACTTCTCTAAAAATTTCAATGCAATGAATTAAAAACTTCGCGGGATACAAAATTTTTTAGCGTAAAAAACCATGTTTCTAGCGGTCAATTCTTCATGAGGGAAGTTTACACGATCGTATCAATGCGAAAAATATAGGGATCGAATTGAAAATTTTATCGTAGTTAGGGAAGACGTTTAAAAATAAAATTAAGTTGGAAAAAAAAATTTTTCATAATAAACAAAAAAGTAACAACAAATAATATCAAAGGACAATATCTCGGCCCTAAATGATAATAGTAAAGTGAGACAACATCGACATAAAAAAAAAAATTATAGAGAATGAATCGCGAATAATAAATAGCAAAAAAAAAGAAACCGCGAAAATACGTAACATTTAAAAAATTATGCAGGTGTTTATGACAGTCATTAACGGCAAGGATAATCCATCGTAAACCTTTTCTTCTTATATATAGGCTTGAACATATAAAAGTAAGAAAAAAACTATATTTTTCAACAAACATCATAAAAGAATTAAACATAGAAAGGCGTAAAATCGGTAAAATATTTAAGGGGCAAATGAAGATAGACACAACTTGCACGGAAGCATCCAGTACAGAAAATAAGTGACAGAAAACATGATTTTTTTACTTTTTAAATGTAGTAACTTTTTTCAATATTCATATTGAGGAATAAAAATTGGCGGACTAATAGAGAATAGTCTGATCTATAATTCCATCTATTTGAAATCAGCAAATCAGCTCGCGGGCAATTATGAGAGCATCAATTTGAGAGCAGAAGGTACAGAAAACATGCATCTTTTGTACATTTTAAAATACATAACTCTTGTTAATATCAATATTAAAGAATAAAAATTGGCAGACTAATAGAGAATAGTCTGATCTATAATTCCATCTACTTGAAATAACTAAAAACCGCAAAACAAAACTTTTATTGAAAAAAGTTACAGATTTTAAAATGTAGAAAGTGAGGGGCCTATACTTTTTACGCCGATAATAGGTAAGATTGACGAAGAAGTAGCTAGAAATTGAGTTAAAATCTGTCAAAAACGGAATTAGGGGCGTGGCCTAATCTGTATTTCGATGAATACTCAATGAATCAATCTCATTTTGGATTTTAATGAAAGCTAACACTCATCATTAATTATGTATTGAAAATAATCCTATAATGTTGAATAGTTATCGAGATACTTACAATTAAACATTGCGTTATGACGTCACGCGCGAAATTTTCAGTATAGAGTAGCGTGTCCCTCGGTACTGTGAATATGAGCCACGAGAGCTCGCTCGTTCGACGAGGGGCAATAGATGTCTAAGGGGCAGAATGTGCAGGTGACGTGGTGCCGAGTATCTACCGCTACTCTAGATGGAAAATTTAATAATGAAAAATGTAATTACAGTAAATTCTATAATGTACAATTCAATTAGTTGATTTTTCTCCTAATTAAATCTTCCTATTCTTATATCTATATAATTTGTAGTAACTTCTTAGAACTTATACTTACTACTCATTTCTAATAATTTAAAGCTATCGTTGTTAATCAAAAACGTTCGGGATATCTTCTGGTTTTTTAGGGACTTTTGATAATGGAATGAGTTCATTCATTTTTTGTCCGAGATTCCACACTAGAGCATTTTTTTTCCCCTCGAGGCATTTTCAGTGTACTTTATTTAAAAACTTATGATCATTTTTAGCAAAATTTCACTCAAAAGAAAAAAAAAACGGATCACTCTTAGGAAGAAACAATTAGTTTGACAGCTATTCGCACTAAAAAATGTGTATGACGCACATAGATTTCTTATTCATAGATCACGTTTAGACAGGCTGATAAAGCAACAGTTACTATAGCAACCATTGGCGCTCGAGTCGCTTTTCTAAAGAATTTCTTCAGATAGAGTCACGTATAGGTGGCGTTGAAACATGGTTCGTATGCGCCAAGCTCTTGAAGGCACAATCCCGTATACGTTTATAAACATTTACATTCACGTAAAAATTCACATTCTAAGTAATATTCCTTATAACGATCAAATTTGCAAGAAAGTAATTTAAATTTTTTATAATGTCACGAAAAGCTTTGAGAGATCTCGGTTTACAGCAGCATAATGAGAGATTATGTTTAATTATAAATTTTAATAACGATATACATTCTGAAAATCTTGAAGATGAACCTATACTTATTGATGAAGATGGATTTCCATCAAATGCAGAATTAGAATTATTAAGAAGAATATCAATAGAAGCATAACTGTTTTTACATATTTTTTTGAATCATTCTATACAAGTTATAGTAACTCAATTTGAAAAATATAAAATATTTACATCTTTCAGACTTATAGGTGAAATGTTTGAAGCTAATGAACTACTCGATACCAATGATACTACTGAAAAAGGTTCTGTATTCGTTATTGCTGATGATAATGATGAAGAAGAATAAGAATATAATAGTAAAGATGAAATACTCAATAATGAAACTAATGATAATAACCGCAATCCTTTGGTATCTGGTATACTCAGCATATTTAGTTCAATTAGCACAGTCGAAATGCACTGTCCAAGTTTAGGATAAGTAAAAAACAGTTTATATCAATTTAAAAATTTTTTAACTTCAGAAAAGTGACCTACAAAAAACAACATTACTGTACATCCTGTACAAATAAAATAAATCCTGAATGTGGAGTGTGTGCAACACTTTCGAATAGGAAATCATTAGATTTTATCGAAATGTCAATTCTTAGTCAAATTCACAAGATGTATCAACGAGAAGAATTCTTCAATTTATTACAAAGAAGATTTCAGCAGTCCAATGAAACAAACACGGTATGTGATATCTATGATGAAAAATTATATCAAGAATGTCTTAATAATGGTTTTCTATCAAACAAAAACAATATTTCGTTTAACTGATACACTGATGGCATTCCGGTGTTGTCATCATCGAAAATAAGTGCTTCGTCAATATATCTCACCATCAATGAAATGCTATCCGAAGATAGAAAGAAGAGGCACATCACTTTGATATTAGGACTTTGGTACGGAGAAAAAAAATCCAGATTTTAATCTTTTTTTCTATAGTTCTAGATCACCGTTGAAGATATTATTAAGAGGTATCAGAGTTACACTCCTTGACGAATGTACAATCACTGTGAAGAGTGTTTTACTTCTGGGAGTTCGCGATTTACCAGCGAAATCTGAATGTCTTAATTTCAAACGATTCAACGGCGAGTATAGTTATCCAGTATGTTTTAATACTAGTGACAAATTAATAATTAGGCCATTATCTTATCTTCAAATATATCCATACAATAGTAACCATGAATTGAAGACATCGGAAAAATGTATCGCCTATGCTGGAATTGCAGCAAATAACAATTTTCAATTTGGAGTTAAAGTACATACAGCTTTATCAAGAATTATGTCTAACTTTGTGCGAGGCATCAACACTGATTGAATGGATGCAGTTAAAGGTGGGGTTATGAAAAAAATATTATACCTTTTTTTTGACAAATCATTCAAAAATTCTTTATTTTCATTATATACCAAGATTGATGGAGCTAATAATCGATTAAAAATGATTAAATAAAAATTTATCAATCCCTCGGGACATTAGAGATTTAATACACTAGAAAGCGTCTAAATTGAAGCATTTTTTTATTTTATTATTCATTACTAATACCAAAGGGAATTATGGACCTTAAGTACTTCAATCATTTCACATTATTCGTAGTTGGTTTTCGATTTTAAGTTCTGAAAAGATTACACATATAATGATGGATGTTGGAGAAGACGTATTAAAGTTATTCCTTGCAGAATTTGAACATCTGTACGGCCTTGGATATCTGACAATAAACTTTTATTTACTCGTACATTCAACTCATTGTGTAAGAGAACATGAACCACTTTGGAGTTACACATGTCATGAACATGAAAATATGAATGGGGTAGAATAAGTAATTTTTGTCATTATAATTATATTGATGGGGATTAAATGTAACTCTGACGTATACATTGCTAATGAAATAGGTTATTCACTGAAACTCTCGTCATTTCTTCAATACGAAATAAATATAATTTCAGAATATTTAGCAAACATTCATGATACTAATTTGAAAAAGCTATTCTGATTTTATGTTGAAAATATTAACGCCAGAATAACAAGTATGAAATAAGAATGATTTCAAGATGTCTAACACAGGTTTAAGATAGAACTTCAAAAATCAGTAATTTCAAGATAAATTCAGGATATTCAGTATGAAGTTAATACAAAAATTTCGATTCGGGATCAAACGTGAGCTTAAAAACTCATAACTTAATGATTAATTTAAAAAAATGTATATCTAAGTATGTATGAGTATAGTTATAAAGTAGAAAATAGTTATTCACTGTCATGATTTCTGAATAATTTTTGTGCTTCTTTAGTATAGAAACAATTCCGTGTAAACAACCAAAGGAATACATTTCTTACGAGAAAACCTCGCGAGGTGGTCACCGCCGACTTAGCTGAGGGGTCTTTATAATAATCTACGATAGAAATAATAAAAAACGAATATTTTTTTCTGCGGAAAAACGTTTTAGAGGTGTGATAATCAACCGCAGTAACCCACACATATTTTTAATCGAAATCATTCAAAATGATTTCATTCGATGAAAACAAAAAAACAACGAAAAATCCCTCTATTTACATATCTAAAGAATTTTCGGATATACATTTTTTTTTTTAATTATGAATAACAAAAAATCTTAAACTCAGAAAATATTAATTTCTTTTTAATGAGACCAATTTCAGTCGGAAGAGCATAAAAAATAACGAGATACGCATCTTTGCATTTTTCATGCAATCATTGCAATATTTTTACATCCTGAAATTTTAAAATGAGATTTACAGTCATCGCCGAATGTAAAATCAACTAGATTTGCAAATTTATCTAGTTTAATAAATGTATAACTACTTTTAAACCATGCATAACGGAAAAAATTAATGTATCGTGGAAACGAGAGTTGATTAAGAGTCAGTGATTGTTATTAGATAATAATATTTCTCAAATATAAATTTAAATCATCTGCTCGGAATAAGACGCTCTCTGAAAAGTGTCTTACAGAGTTTTTCCATATTCTAAACCCAAAAACATCCAATCGTTGAATTCGTCTAGTAGTTCCATTAGGAATAATCATTATATCAACTTCTTCATCCGATTGCTCGGTAGACGTGACAGCTTCATAACGATGTCCAGTCTACAAATCAACAAAAAGTAAACTTTTTTTTTCAACATTCGGAAAAAATATATCCTTTAACTAGATTTGGAAGTGTTCAAAAAAAATTAGTACATAAACTTCCAGAATATATCATATAATATAATATTTGAGTTGAATTTTTTTCCTGAAGTCAGTTTTTCAGATTTCTACGTATACATTATCTGGTCTAAAAAGTGTTGCTTCTACCCGTGGACCAAGTTTTCCAGTTGGTTCTCTTAACACAAGCAAGAGGAGAGTGAGGAGTTTTCCATCAGCTTATATCGTTGGTTATTTGAATGTACATCTAATTGGAAGCTACTTTGATTAACATTATATGTGTTATCTGAACCATATGATTGAATTCCGATGTTACATCGTTGACGAACTCTTTTAGTGTTTGTTTTGATATTTTACGATCTTCAATTATTCTAGATGATATGGATTCGTTAATTTGACAAAACAGAGATCATTGAATCGTAGTTTTTTTTCAGCTAATGGTGTCCATTTTTTTCAAATCAAAATCATGGATTATTATCTCAGCATCGATGCCTTATAACATACCACTACGAGTCCGACCTCCATTGGCCAGTTGTACCTAGGCCCACTTGTCATATTTTGACTTTGCAGCCCCAGGCACAGAGCTTGTAGTACCAACTTTATCCGCTTTGGTCGGCGGTCGCTAACGCGTCTCGCACTCGGCGTGACCACATTCACACTACCATATAGGGCAGTACGGAAGCGGAGCACGACGGATTATGATCAATAATCTTCAATCTGCCCCCGTTGTTACGCGACATATCTCAAGGACAGAAACATCTATGCAATTCCGGGGGCTCGCTATGTTGCTCTATATAGGAACGCATCTCTTCCGAATAGTTCAAAGCTGTTCACGAACTTGAGAAGAGGATCAGAGCTCTCATAGATGTCATAAGCTAGGCCAATCATTAACCTATCATGTAGACGCTCCAAACTTAGTAGTCCACGCCCTCCTAGACCATGAGGAGAGTATAGGCGTTGGACAGAAGATCGTGGATGATGACTCCGGTGTAATGTCATCACTTTCCACGTGATAATGTCCAGATCTTTCAGCTCTTTTCGGAGCCATTTAAGGACTCCGAATGAGTATAGCAAGACTGGGACAGCGAGCATATTCATAGCTGTGACTTTGTTGGACCCTCATGATTCAGAGCCCCATATTCTCTTCAGTCACCACTTGTACTCTCTGCGGAGAGTATCTTTGATGACAGACACGTCCTGTAAAGAAGATTGTGCCTGTCCAAGATATCGGTATGACTCTCCAGCATCCAGATGTTTTCTGATGCTCCCGTCTGTAAGCTCGACATTATCACTCCAGTTCGGCGATCTTCCTTTTACTAAGTGGGCAACTGCGCACTTGTCCAACCCAAACTTCATGCCGATTGCACTGGTATACTCAGACACAACCTCTAGGGCTGTTCCCAGTCTCTCAGGACTTGCCACGTACACTTTCAAGTCATCCATATAGAATAGATGTGTGACTTTGTGTACACAATTGGAGACTCGTCCGGCTTTATATCCAGGCATTCGGCGTAAAGTGACAGATAATGGCAGCAGTGAGATGCAAAATCGAAGAGGACTCAGAGTATCTCCTTGGTATACGCCTCTCCTAAATGGCACTGCTCTGGTAGACACTTTTGTTTTACCAGATGATACGGTTAAACGTGTCCTCCAGAACGGCATTAGATGTTCAATGCATCTCACTATTTGTGGGGGTACTGAAAGGCATTCGAGCAAGTAGAGAAGAAGCTTGTGAGGTGATGTATTGTAAAATTGCATTTCAGTCAGGGCAAATTTTTTTTTCTTTCTTTTTATATCGTATAAATCCACTCATAACAATCATTACTTATTCATATCAGTTTAATAATGTTCTCTAAAGTTTTGTACAATCTCCATTTTTTAATAAAGGAAATTCGCAGTAACTACAAATGTAGTTTTCACAAATGAAAAAAAAAATTTTGCCGTAATTGGGATCGAACCCGGCCCGGCAAAATAAAAGTCTAGTGCTCTGACCACAGAGCTAACATGCTTATACTTGGTTCATTTATGTCCATAAATCATACGTTCCAGGCTTGGGCATGAAGTGTGGGGATATAGCTAGTCGGCGACGCGCAAGAACTTACCGTGGATTGTTCTAACTGTTTTTTGATTTTTATCATCATAAATTATTAAAAAAAAATCTAACTGATGCGCTTATATAAAGATAAGTTCTTTTACACTCTTTGATTTTTTTTACTCTTCCGTCATTGATTAGAAAAATAATTCTGAAAAAAAAATGATTTTTGAAATCAATGCTTGAAATTGTATTTTATTTATTCGTCTTTTTGTTATAAAATATATTTTTAAACATTCCAAACGATAGTTAGTAGATTGGAAAAGATCAGTTCAGAGTCAAGGTACAGTAGTTATTGTGAAATGAATCATTACCTCGTTGATGGCCGATAACAGCTGTATCCGCCATGACACCCCTGAAATCTAGTTAAAAATAAGTGCATATATTTATCTTCATTTTTAATCATAATGAAGTAAGTAATTTAATTGTATTGTTGTTTTTCGATGTGATGAAGAAAACAAGCTTTCGATTAAGTCTTAAATTTAAAAAATTTGTTCATTTATGACGCTATCATTTGTAGAGAAAAATTTTCTGAGAACTTTCTAGGAGGAAATCTGTCTACATCCCAGCCTCAACGGAAAATTTCTTCTCTTACTGAAAAAAGTTATTAATTCTGTAACATAATTAAAAATGGACTCTTCTTGTTCATAATTAGTAAATTCGTCATGGATAATCAAAAATCCATTCTTACAATAAAATTCTGTTTTTTTTTTATACATATCGTTCAGTTCGATAATAATATATTGTGAACAGTCCAACGTTATCGCGAAGATATATGAATATCAAATGTTTAGAATAATTGTACAGAAACATGATGATAGTTTTTCATAGAAAAAAAAATTTTTAAAAACGAAATCAGCAATAAAAAAATTTTAAACTTGTGTTGGGATGGAGAAAATAGCGTTGAGGATAATAAAATAGTCAATGATTATTGTTAATAATGAGAAATTGTGTTCATAGCGATTGAACATTGTTAATAACGAATGATTATCGATCATAATAATATTTGAATAAAAAAATTTTTTAATTGTTATAAACAATAAAAATAGAGATCTATGCAATATATTTAAATTCTTCTAACGCGTA